TGATCAGCTTTTTAAACTGAACACTGAATTCTTACGATAAAGAAATACATCATTAAATTTTTGTCAGGTCATAGTATTTATACAACAGGATGACTGGACTAAAGAAAAACTTTCAGTTGATGGACATAGAATTGATAATGCATATAGTTGCCCTTAGCAGTTTTTGTGCAAACTGAAGCAGAAACCTAATGTCTGGCAAAACGTCCCCTGGAAATAGCAAAGGTTTAAAGGAAAAAAAAAAAAAATCCTTGCTTTTTTATACTCAGGAATGGATTTAGCTCTCCTTGTATTCTGCTCTAGTAAGTACTACTGTAATAATGTGGTTTCTGCACTAGAACATTGGATGATACAGGAAAAAGTAAATGAATGCCCCCAATACATAGGAATACATTATCCTCGTATTAGCTTAGTTGGACTTCACCGGAACTTTAAGATTTTATTCTAGTTAGTACTTGCACAGTAGGCAAAGTATAGTTTAAGTGTAAATTGTAGTTCACTAACTTCAGAAATGACCTGTATTTACTAGAGAACAATGTATTCCTGGTCTCATTTGAGTCATAAAATCTAAATATGAGGCCTAAAATTGACATTTTAACATGCTTCTCAGGTGATTCTTAAGCACATTAAGTTTGAAAATTACCTAACTAGAGGGTTAACTTTGCCTCTGGTGAGCTCTCCACAGCTATCTCAACCCAAACTGAGATTTTCACACATCAAATTAAATTATCCGTTTTCTTTCTACAGAAGAAATCAGATTACTGCTTAATTTTTGTGATCACTATTGTAGCAGAAAACGAGACTGAACACTAATGCAATGTGTAATTTCAGGCTAAACATTTACCTTGAAACTTATCAGAAACGGTCTCCTCCCTCCTTTTAATGTAGCACTAGAATACATAAATAAATCTGGTGAATATACATACATGATTTACTATTTGTTGTGCTTTCTTAGTAAGTTTCATATTCTTACTCCTAAAGTTAAAAAAAAGGGTTGAATAAAGTTGCCTTTTGTAATTCTTTTTTATTTAAATCTCTCCAAAGATATAGCAGTAATTATAAGTAAACACCTTATCCATGACTCACAGAAGAGTACATTTTAGAAGGGTCAATGTTTTAAGTATTTAGCATTTAAGTACTGAGCATTTATAACTTTCAGCCCTGAGGACATCATATTCCTCAACTTCAGACCAAAAAAGGGTATCAACATCTTAAAAAGCTGAAAAGAGGCCTAGAAGTTATCAAATCCAACTTTTTACTCAAAAAGGCAGTCCTCTCAATAGCCCCTTGATAGTCATCCAGTTTCTGCTTGAACATTTTTTTTTTTTTTAAAGATTTTATTTATTTATTCATGAGAGACAGAGAGAGAGAGAGAGGCAGAGGGAGAAGCAGGCTCCCAAGGAGCAGGAAGCCCGATGCGGGACTCGATCCCAGGACCCTGAGATCATGACCTGAGCCGAAGGCAGACGTTTAACCATCTGAGCCACCCAGGCGCCCCTCTGCTTGAACATTTTTGATGGAATCCTTACTTCATTTAACAGTACAGTGGGACTGCACCTTGATATACAGAACCACAATATGTCTCATCCAACTTGCACCTGCTGGTTTGAGACTTGACCTCATTTAAGTCCTTCCTATATTTGAAGACAGCTTGTCATGTCTCCCCTTAGTTGTCCACTGTCGCTTCTCCAAGGTCTACAATATCAACTCTAAGACGCACGTTCCTTCCATGCATGACATCTTTGAAATTGGTATGCATTTTTATAATTCATGGTTCATCATAGTTTAATCGAGCTCTTTTCTTCCTTAGTGGTACAATTAGGTTGTACCTAATGGTTCACAACTAGGTTTGCTAAAATACAGTAATTACCCCACTTCAACACTTTTTCCATGAACAGAACATTCACGGTCATCCAGTTCAACTCCTTACCTTGTACACAGAACACTGCCCAGTTTCTCCTTAGTTATGTTCTGAGGTTGAATCTAATGCCTTACAAACCAACTCATTCCAAAATCTTAATTACCTCAGTTTTAATACTGCACTGAAATCTTTTTCTCTTTTTGGTCCTAGTTCTGTTCTTCAGACCCGCAAATGAATGACAACTCTTGAATTTGATACCTGAAGACAGATACCATGTTTCTAGAGTTTATTCTCTAATGCTAAAGTTTCCTACTTCCTGGTTTGTTTTTTTTTTTTTTGTATATTTAAAATGTAATGTAAAATGGGGATACTAAAACCTACCTTATGACGCTATGCTAAAGACAGCATACAATAATGCATGTAAAACACTTAGTATATTGCTTGGCAGCTAGAAGGCATGCCATATCCTTTTCTCCTTCTGCCTTCCCCAATCACAGCAGTTCTTAAAATACAGCGACTTCCCACCTTGTTCTGAGCACTACACTTTCAATATAGCTGAAAATCACATCAGTGTTTTTGGCAACAGTTACAATTTACATTGATCTACATATGAACCACTCTCTTAAGACATGTTACATTCCACCATCCTTTATTCTTTTAGCAACCAAAGTGGGAAAGTAATTATCTTGACTCAGTGTATCCTATTTGAGGCAACTCAACACACAAAATTGGGTTAGATTTAGATCCCGATTTTGATGTGCACTGTTTATTTGCTTCATCTCCTAGATCTGTCATGTATTTATGATATGATCTAATTCACTGGCAATGCTACTGGCAAGGAAAGAGCTTTCTGACATGCTGTTAGGACCTAGCTTTTAAAAAGGCACGGAGATAAGTCTGGCTTATTATCCACAGACTGTCTTAATGGAACCAATTAGTAGGTATTCCTAGGTGGTTTTTTTTAACTACACAAACTATGGTTAAGAGAACATTAAAGATGGACATCCCTTTAATGCACGTGCACATTTAGGTTTTTAGTAACTTTCTGCAAAATTGATGCTAGTAAGCAAATCTAAGTTAAATAAATGTGCCCTTCCTTGCAGGGATGCTCAGATGCCCCATATTTTAAAAGCACTGGGTGTAACAGAATGGAAGATCTGTTTTTGAATGAAGGATTCAGAGGGAGAATCAACTAGAAAGGGTAGAGTGGGAAAAATCTGAAAGTTTCAAAAGTTAATTGAAAATGCTTTAAAAAAGAATCTTGAAAATGAAATTACAGCAAAAAAATTGTAAATTATTTCAAAGCCCAATGCTTTAATTTGTACATTTTATTTTCAAATTGAAATATCAATTTATACCATTCAATCAACATGTATTTATCAAGCACCTACGGTGTACCAAGTTCAGTGGCAAAAAGGAAAAGACCAGTTAAGTGGGTGGCTTTATATTATACTGTAAGAATTCAAATAAACTTTTCAGTTCTTAAAAATTTTTTATATCTAAGGAAAACTTTGTGCAGTGAAAAAAAATCCCTGAAAATGGAGTTTTATCATATAAATTACAGTATCACCACAAGAAGCATAGAATATATATTTGAAACTAAAAAGGTGAAAGGACTTTCTTTTGCAACTAAATAGCTTTTTACCCCTAGAGCCAATTATAGTATAATCACAAAGTTATTTAACAATGTACACATCTATGTCACTAGTTATATAGGGAAAATTTAACAGAATTAAACCTAAGAAAGAAAACGTGAAATATTAGTTCAGGTCAACTTCTGTACATGTATAACCACAAGTTATAAAACCAAAGAATATAACAGTGTGTTATATTAAAGAGTTTAATATAGTACTTTAAAGATTTCAAATAGACTTTTTAAACTTGGATCTGAAGTCAAGAGCATGGTAATTTCGGATAACAAGTTATAAAAAATTGGTTTACATGCAAGAGTTTTCTCATTTTGATGATTCAGGGTAAAAAGAACTTAGAAACTGGAAAAGTGTGCACTTAAAATTTTCTAAATGGCTATTAAAACAAACAAGAGTCAAGACAACAAACCACTTGATGTGAGCTATCTTGCTTTTCTGAGTCATTCACAAAAGTACCAATCATGATCATGGTGACACTTTATACTGTTAACGTTTGTACTCATAAAAATAAAGATCGCCTTCCCTTTTCTTTCTTTTTAACTGTTTCTCATGGTTATGTAGGAAAAGTTATGCTTTACAAAGTCAATTATTGTGAAAAAATGTAATGCTTTTTTTTTTAAAGAAATCTAGGATTTGATTCTGGTTTATGTCAAATATGTGAGAAGGTTTTGTGCACAACAGTTAAAACTACAATTATATAAGTGCCATCTTTCCTGCAGAGGAGATGCTTTGGTTTAAATCTGAAAGGTTAAAAAATCCTGATATTTTTATGTCAGTTTCTCCATATCTCAAAATACATAGAAAAAGGTAAATCTTAAGTCATTTCATATTCCTGATACACAAACACAGCAATGTCGTAAATGTTTCATTTTTAAACATGATTTGGTAAATGTCAACAAACTTTCACTCTTCATAGAAAAATAGGTTAAAAATGAAAATTTAGAAAATCGAAACTCACTGCCTTTTTTACTCTCTATCTCTAGTGTTTGTAGCTTGAGTCTTCAACATTTTTAAATACAGTATTTGTGCCTTTAGATGGAAAAGAATCCATCAACTTGTAAATGTGAAATATCCAGGCCAGCAAACTGAAGGTAAAGTCTACCTCACCCCTGCTTTTGGCTTACCTTAATTTGCGTATTACTTCTTAAAGATAAATCTCAAAGGTCTATCAAGAAATGTCTCATGAATTTCTCACAAAAGTATCTTGATTGGGTCCCATGAGTGTTCAGGAAGTTTTATTTCTAATGCAGCCATAATTACTTTAAAAAATAGTTTCTGTTTTGACTTGGTTAATAACTAAAAATGCATCTGCATTTTTAACCTACAAGTAAAATGGTGTATGGTTCCATCAAATTACTTGTCAAAAGCTGAAAAAAAAGACTACATTTTAAATTGATTAGTCACACCATTTGTAAACCTTGAGGGTTTCAGGGGGTCTACTTTTCATGTTGAAGAAATAATTTCACAATTTCAAATCAAAGTCAACACTGCAGTGAGGAGAGCTTTTCTACTTTATTACAAAGAGAAGAAGCCTTTATGTGGTCAGAAAATACAAGATTGATCTTTTTTTCTCTTCCTATGAAACGCTGCTGTTCAAACAGCCAGAGTGAATTGTCTCAGTTCACTTCTTTAAGTCCCATCACATTCACTTGGGTATGGATGTCCTTGGCTGCTGAAAATCTGGCCCTTTAGTGCACAGGGCGACAAAGTCCCCTGACCAGCAGTTCCAGAATGTCCCATTTTCATATATTGCATCCATGCACACCTCCTAAAAATGAGGTACAGCAGGGCAAACATTTTCCAAAATAGATGTCATATATATAATATATACACATTCGTACATACATACCTTTATTCATGTGATGTCCAAAAATTTAAAAAAAATGTACACATTTATTACAAAATCGTAACAAAGACTGGACAGTGTTTTGCTCATTCTGGAAAGATGAAGCTCAGTAATAACACAACCCTGGAAACCATCCAGAGATTGTGGCAATATCTTTCTTCTAAACAGTCAGATATTCTTGCATTAAGCTTGGCGAAACTGCCTTTCAAAAACAGAAGGGGAAGTAAAATGAAGGAAGCAGACCTTGCTCATCTTTCCAAATGAAATACGAGAAGGATCTTCACATAAAAATGCACAAACATTTGTTATTTTATTACCAATAGTGCTACAATGAACAATGCAAATTTTGTGGTCTAATTCTGTTGAGTCTTTTGTGGGTTTTCTTTTTTACATTTTAGAAACTAAATGGTAAACTTCTGTCAGTGTACTTGCTTGTCTTTACAGACTCAAGTCTGTCTGCTGGCAAAAAAAGAAAATAAATGAAAAAAAATACAGACCCTGCTCGAACTAGAGAAAAACAAATTACAAATTTAGTTGTTGGGCAGCACATAATTAGTAAGGCAGGACCTCAAATGGTGACCCTTTGCATAAGCCAATTGCCAGATCCTCAAGGAATTAAAACCAGGGTGCCTGAGCCACATCAGTTCTGCAGTTATGTTGAGTATTGTGCTGAGACAGCCATACCCCAAGAAAAGGGAAGTCTTTTTTTAGAAGGCTTGCTGAGCAGGGTTGTAGTTGAAGGTGGATGGCAGGTGAGGCCGTTCTTCTAATTTGTCATATTCCAGATGAAATTCCTATAAAACCAAATTTAAGAATTTAGATGATTTCCTCTCCCTCTGATCTCAGATATTTGTCAAAATATATTTTACTAGGTGAACAAAATACCTACATGTATGAGAATGAACACAGACACAGATGCACCAACTCTTTTTTTCCCTCTAAAATACAACTGGAAGAAAAGTAATGTGCTGCAATTTCTGATAAGTGCAAAAATACAGACTTTGTGTAAAAGTCAGAGACTACTCATGAACATCTATTTTATAACACCGAAACTGCATTTTTTTTGCTCAAAAGTAGAAGTTTGAGCAGCTATTACTATATCATCAATAAAAAGCACTGAAAATTGCAGCCAACATTCAATGACGTAAAAAAATTTACTTTTTCCTCAAAAAATATAATTTCCCAATTTGTAACTATTACACCTACTTTTTTTTAAAGCAAACACATCAAGTTATTCTAACCTTACAACTCACACATCTCCCGACTTCCCACTTCAAACCCAAATACTGAAAAGATGTAAATGCCACTCAAAACTAGATAGTGGTTTTGCTGTAAGCACATCTGAACGCAAACTATTTAGCTCATTTTAATTAAACTTTCAAAATACATTAACTTCATGAGAGTTTTAAAATTTGAGAATGGTGAAGTGAATTTCTTCATGACACTTCCTAAGATCAAGAGAGATGCAGAAGATAATTTTGTATATTAAAAAAACAAAAATCATAACTTTGCAAATCCAAACAGCAAGAGGTTCTAAAATTACTAATTCTACAATTTGAATTCAATAATAGCACAAACTAAATCAATTCCATTTAAAATATTATGAACCTTAATTTATACTACGTATTAAAGAAAGCCAACAAGTAATTATTAGCACTATGAGTTAACATACCTTACCATACCTATCTTGTTTCAAATTGATTCTAAAAATAGATATTCCCATTATTAAATTAAAATGAAAACCTAGGTCACAATGATTCAATTTTGAGATATAAAACCAAGTATTTAAAATGTAAGGATATTACATTAACTGAAAATCTAGTCTGTGCCAAAACTAGAGGTACAGCTAATTTTAATCTTTCTGATTATATCTTTCTGTATATATCATTATCTTCATCTTGCACCTGAAGAAATGACGTTTACAAGTAACCTGCCCAAATCATACCTTAAGCAGCAGATCTAGGATTAGGATTCAGACCTATGTAGCACCAAAGCCCATGACCTTCTAGTGTTAACACGTTATTTTTAATAGTTTTAGTGCAAGATCCAAATAAATTTACTTCATTACACCCCTGACGCAGAAATGTTGAAAAAATTCAGTTCAGTGACAAATGTGTTCTTAAAGAAGAGACACTGTAATGACTTTAATTTAAAAAGGTTCACTTTATAGGACAGAGTAATTAAGGCACGTAGGTCATTTGCTTTTCATTAAAACTAGGAAACTCCAGAATCACCATCGTCCCCCTTATGCACTGTGTAGGCACCGCTCTCTCTTCCTACCCCTAAATTTTAAAAGCAATTTATTGCCTGGCTTAAGAAGCTTATCAAAATGAGTGAAGAAAGTATCTTGTTATATCACTCTTTAGAAATTAAAATTGGCGGGGCGCCTGGGTGGCTCAGTTGGTTAAGTGACTGCCTTCAGCTCAGGTCATGATCCTGGAGTCCCGGGATCGAGTCCCGCATCGGGCTCCCTGCTCAGCAGGGAGTCTGCTTCTCCCTCTGACCCTTCCCCCCCTCCTGTGCTCTCTCTCTCCTCTCATCCTCTCTCTCAAATAAATAAATAAAATGTTAAAAAAAAAAAAAAAGAAATTAAAATTGGCAATTTAGTTCCAAAGTATGTGTAGTTGCAGGGTAAAAAGTCTATTTGTAACTAACAAATCACAGGCCCCACTAAGTTACATAAATTAAATTTTGTTCAGTTATCCTGTCCTTGTCATTGTACATTGGTGAACTACACAGTATTATTAGCATTTAAACTGGAGTAACTTCATCAGTGCACATATTTTCTCCCTACATATTAAAAGAAAAAGATCAGTTTAAACCTAGGGAGCATAATAAATATTTTAATGTAATTTAAAAACTCATATATCAGAGATTCAGAAATTAAAGTCAAATTTTGTCTTCCTTTTTCTTACATCATTGTTTTGGTCTTCTATGTATTTTTATTCTTCTTAAAATATGTAAATCTTACAATATATTCTGGTATCTCTTTGTTCCCTTTGTTGGTAACATCTCTTTTACACATTTGTTGTATGTACACACACGTCACACATGCACACCTCTTTATAACCGGTAGGGACAAAAACAGTAGGTCTGTTTTGTAAACCACTACATACTGCCTAGAATATAGTGCCATGCCCCTAGCAGGTATGTAATTAATGGCTGATGAATTAATAAACACAAGTTTTTTTCATTTGTTTTAGGAACAAAACATTACAGTTTTATGATTTAAAAGGCTATAAAATGTTTTAGATACTTTTTAAAAACAACTGTTAAAGTTATTTTTCTATTAATCAAATTAGGCAACATATTCTCAAGAGGTCACTGTAAGCAGAACTGAAATACATGTACTGGATTCAGATAATCAAATGAAATTATTACAAAAGCATTAATGTAATCACTGATCGAATTACACAGAGAAACATACACTGCAGGAATATTTTCTCAAATTCTCAAAAATGTCAGCTTTCTCTTACCTAAGATAAATCCTCCAATTTTAGGAAGCTGCCAACTATCTTCAATATACTTATTAGAAATCATTTTTTTACTACTTTGAAGAAAAGTACATATTACTGATTAAAATATAAAGATATACTAATACTAATGTGTACCAGTGAAATTAATGAAAAAAAATCACATTTATATCCGGCTATGATATTATAAAAAATTCTAAGCATTAGAAATACTATTCAGTGTTGGATCCACAAGGTGAAGTCAGGCTGAAAGAATTCTTCAATTTTTAAGTCTTTAGTTTGAGAAAGCTATTGATCATACAGCAGCCTACATCACCTGAAAATTCTGTTGATGAAATTATTTAAAAAATTCTACTCATTAAGAATATATATAATCTGAATGACCACTATTTTTAAATTAGTGAGATACTGAGTAATTCTAGCTAAATTACAAAAGATAGACCACATAGCCTGCTGACAAGTCAAGATTTAAAAGGGGAGAATAAACACAGTGTCAAAATTTTTATGTATACATTATTAACATACAAAAAATACTTTATTTAATGGGCTGGATCCTAGAACTCAGAGTTACGGAATTTTCACGGGTAAAAAATACTTCCGATTTAAATCATCGAATTTCTTATTAACAATTCTTCAAATCTCTGAAAATATTAAGTAATCTGCAAAACAGAAAGAAAACCTCATACAAGACATTGTGAGATGGAGACCTGACGACAGCCTAGATCAGGTCAATACTTTTCAAAGACAACATGACAACATCAAGCTATTACTTATAATACTAATTCAGACTGTAGGCTTCTTACAATGAGCTGAAGTTATTTAATAATGCATGTTCTTTACCTGTGAGTAGTAAACCACATCCACTTTACAGGTGGGGACTTTGAGGTTTACTTGGGACATGGCATTTTAAGGGCTTTTCTATAGTCTGATAAACTGTTAATACATTATAAATGGAACTAAATGTCTTAATTCCCAAACAATTTGAGAAAACACTGAAAACATCTTTAAAACAAACAAAAAACCAGGAGCCATTGTGAAAAGTTTATTCTGTGAATACAACTTAAGTTTTAAAGTTCATGAATCTGTATTTTAATATAACAGGAGTAAGCTATGTATAATACTTAATAGAAACAAATAATTCTGCTTGCTTTCATCATTGTGAAAATAATTTTGATGAAAAGTGTCAGTGCCAGTGGCCAGCAATTACCTCAAAAGAGATTTCTTAAACAGTTTAATGATATATCTCAAATTTTATTTTCCAACTTCAGAGCTAAAAATTGTAAAGGTAAAGGTTAAGACAAAGCTCAGCTGTACAGGAGATCAGATAAAGTTGGGGAAAATTATATATGCACACTACATATTTACACACACACACACACACACACACACACTTCTTTAAAATGACATGTATCTGACTGGGGAATTGATTTTTATAGGAAAGTAAAAGGGCCTATTAATGTTTAAGTTGCTTCTGAATATTTTGTGGAGAGAAAGTAGTACTGGAAACCTTTTTCACATAAGAAAATCTGTCCTATATATTGAACTAAAACTTAACTAAAATGATACATCAATCTACTACAAACATCCATCCTTTTTGCATATAGAAGTTTGGAGTAACTTACAATGATATTGAGCAAAAAGCTTCAAATTGAATGGAGAAAACTTCAGTTATTACTAACAGACTCTTTTCCCCCTCCAAAGACACATTCTTGTCTCCTGTACAATCAACTGACTGAGAAGTTCTCAAAGTATGGCTCCAGACAAAGATCAGCAAAATCACTGGCATCACTTAGGAAATTGTTAGAAATGCAAATCCTCAGGCCCCATCCATAGACATTTTAAATCAGAAACAATGGAGGTATGGCTCAGCAACTTGTGTTTTTAATAAGTCTGCCAGGTAATTCTGATGCAAGCTCAAGTTTGAGAACCACTGACCTGACCTAACAACAGTTAAAATTTTTCCATCTTTGAAGAAGAGTAATAAGCTGTAAGAACACAGATGATAAAAACAGCAACAAACTACAACTACTCCCATGTATCAAATACCCAATATATACGAAGCACTGTACTCAGCGTGTGTGTGTGTGTGTGTGTGTGTAAAATCTCATTTAATCCTCATGACAATCTAGAAGCAAATATGATTTCGATTTAAAAGATAAGGAAGCACGCATGGAAAAGAAACTTGCAAATGATCAAAGCATAAACAGCTGAAACAGGAGTTAAATTCAAATCTACAATACAAAGGCTTTCTACCACACTATACTTCTTAACAGGTAACATACATAATGTCTCCTGTACTATTTGTAATGAATGTAATTATTTCTACTTAAAAGGTCAGATCATGGATCTACCTTTTAAAATCAAGATATGCATATTAATTATAATTGTTAAAATAACTCAAATACAGTATGGTGGTCTATGGACTCGGTCTGAGAAGTAATGACATTTACCACTGACAAACACCCAAAAGTAATAATAAAAAAAGATTTAACCTCTTGTATGTGTCTTGTCTGGTGTTTTTACTTGGGCACATCTTTTCCTATTTCTTTTTTTCAAGTTTTATATGAAATCTTGTGATGTAAAACGTTTTTGTGATAAAGATCTGGTAAGCATTTTACATTGTCATGTTAAAATGTTTTACCTTATTAATTTAGTAAAGTTGACTCAAAAGACAAAAAAGCCCAAACCAACAACTAAAGAATCATCCAATGGACTAGTTGTCAAGAAATATTTTTCTTCTGTTTAAATTTATTGAGAATAAACAAAACTAACTCTTTAGTTTTTAATCCTAAGAATCTTCAATGGAAAAGGCATTCAGAGCAATCTTGGAGTTATGAAATCAGATGCTGGTTATACTCTCTACTAGGGAGACTAAATGCATACATTCAAGATACTACATAAAACGTGAAATATGCTATGAGACTAATGAAAATTTTGCACATCGGACAGTTAAATAGGTGTTTTTGTGAGGAGAAGTTGCAAAACAAAACATAACAACCAACTTTTTCCACAGTCCTCTTCCCTCCAATATTCAGCATACTAGTCATAGGAACAATCAAGGTTAATGCTTACAATTTTCTTTCTTTGTATCACTTGCAAATAAAAATCAAGTATCTTTCCTGCAATGAGTGCAAGTGTTTTAAAAAGCCTATTATCTGTTTATATAACAGTTTTAGGAAAATCTCCTACTTGCTTAAAGTAATAAGAATACATGACTGGGATTGCAAGAAGGTGATCTTTATTTTACAACTGAGTAGACACAAAAATGTTTCAAATGTTACCAAGGCTTGTGAAAAATTACAAAATTTCTTACCAACTTCATTTTCCTAACTATGGGTGAAATGAGTTGTTTCCAGATACTCTCCTAAAGTTTAAATCAAGCCAAGGAGGTGAGGACAAAAAAACTTATTTAGCAAGTATCTGGCACATTATTGGAATGGATATATTGGTACATATAAACAGATAAAAGAGGATACTTCTTTTTAAAATCTAGATTTATACATTTACACATTTGCACATGGAAAAAAATATACCTTAGCTACTTTCCTCCAGTTAAGACAGTCAAAGAAGTAATATGTTCCCCTCTCATATGTATTGGTTTTCATTGTTGGCTCCATGCCTGGTGCCCTGGTAATCCATACTCGTTCTTCTTTGTGGTATCTCCAATCACGGTTAAAACTTCAATTTTTAAGAGAAAAAGACAATTAATTTTTCCTGTGGCTCACACATCAAACATTTTCTACATTTTGTAAAATTTTTCTCAGAAAATAATTACACAGAAAATACATAAATATGGATGCTTCTTTACCCTGACTTTGTTATTAAACACAACCTGAGTGAAATAAATATAGGAAAAGAATCCCTTAATTTGTCCAGAAACCACACTCGTTAATTAATATACACATCTTTATTTAACTGAAGAGGCTTTTTATGCAAACATAGTAAGATCTTAAAAGCTCTATGAGCAATGTGATAAAAACTTAGGCAGACCAAATAAAGATACATTGTGTTCCAGAAACTTCACTCCTTTTTCGTTCTTCTTAACATTCAATAGAAATTGAGACATCTATTAAAACGAACAAAAACCCCAACTATTTGTATTATTTTATAAGGAACAAAATACAGTCTTTTTATCTATTTAAATTCACATAATTTTATAACTATGTTGAAAATAGAATATCCATATTAAAAATTCTTAATGAACGTATTACTTTTTTTAATTCAAATCTCATTGATCCTAAATTTTCAAAAGCCAAAAGGATATCCCCATTAGAATTCATGCAAGAATCAATGAGGATTTACTATCACTTGTAAACTGGGGAAGTAACATCCAAAGGAGGTAAAAGTACCAGAAAAAAAATCTCTGGTAGAACAAACCTCCATGTAAACAAATACGTTCCTACTAATACAGTGAGATAATTTTTAGACATAAATAAGATGTGAGACAGAACTGCCAATAATGGATAGATGAATAACTAAATGAATTTATTTACTTATGAATAAATTAAAAGGAACAGGTAACAATTGCTATGTTACAAAGAATGAGGGGACATGGGAGAAAACAAATTCTCAATAGAGAAATAAAAAAACAATTTATTATCAACACAGTGAATTTTACATTTTTATGTATCTGATCCAAGGCCATTTATAGAAATGTTATAAAGAATATTATAAAATACTTAAATCTATAAAAACTAGGTCTCTCAATCATAATATCCTAATTTTCTTTTTGTAAGCTCTACGCCCAACATGGGGCTTGAACTCACGACCCCAAGATCAAGAGTCAAATGCTCTACCAACTGAGCCAGGCAGGCGCCCCATAACATAAATTTTTAATAACAATTTACTCTAGTAAACATGATTACTAGAATAGTCTATTGGTAACAAAATATATTACCAATTGGATATATGAGAAATGACACAAAATTTTTATTCTTAGAGCATCAGGTAAAAACAGAAATGCTCAGGAAAAAACATCCAATGGACCAACTTCTTAACACTAATTTATTTAAGTTGGCCAACAGACTTCTGATAACGAATGTGGACTTCATCAACACTTCAAAACACACAAGATGTATGCAGTGCCTTGCCCATATAATACTCAATAGATGTGCATTAATGATGAAATTCACTATCATTAACATACGTGGTTCCACAAGAAGATGAGCCACAGTTATGAACCATATCTTATACTTCACATATTTATAAAAATTAGATTCACCAAATTCATGAGTCAATTCTGTCTTCTTACAAATTTAGGATTATTTAAATCTGAAATAATTCTTTTTATGTATACAGTGACCACTAACCATGGTAACATAAACTTTCAATCTAAATTAACTTTATTTTACTAAATATAAAAACAAACAACTTATTTCTTGATGGAAATATTTCCACTTTAAGAACAAAAGAGAAACCATAGCTATCATGTAAAAGAAAACCTTTCAGAATAAACAAGATCCACTATAATACAAAAGTGTTTAAAAATACTTTGAACATACAGCTCTACTGCAGCTAAAAGTTGTAATACGTCTCCTCCATTCATGTAATAGAGATAGAAGAGCAGGTCTTCTCCATATCGGCCAAGTTTTATTGCAGCCAGCTGGAAAAGAGAAATCAAGATTCTGAAGTGTAAAATAAGTTTGAAAACCCTAACATAATGCTACCACTGAAGTAAAAATAAAAAGATAAACAGAAACTCTTTGTAGCAGATAACTGTTATTACATGATTTTGCAGGTAGTTACGATTTTAAGGGAGAGTTTTACCATTTAAATAACTGAAGTCACTTAACAATTATTTCTGGTAACATCTATTTTATGTACTAATAGGATAAAAAGCTATATAAAAACTTCTAACCAAAACCAAATGCTGTTTTACTTGAGGGCTTATTAATACCCAACATGGTAATAGTTGAACCAGTGTTCAGAGATGCAGGACTTATATTCAAGAACCGGTTCCATTATTTACAAATATGACCATGTCGAAATTATTTAATGCCTATGAACTTCCATATAAGATGCAGAAATGAGACCTACAAGGTTACTAAGAACGTAAATGAAATTGATAAAGTGTCTGTATATGAATGTACCTTAAAGAATGCCTGATACATAGAAAACTGTAAGAAATGTTAGCTGAATCCACATCGAACAGTGATTCACAAATCAGTTGGTTATATATTTTTAGCAAATCACACATGGTAAATACAAAAATCATAAAAGGACAGCTCTTTATTTTGTTTAAACGGATGACTAAAAGATGATTGCCTTACGTGCTTCCATAAAGCAGAAACATTAACTACCAACCAAACTATAAAACATTGAGTTTAATAGTCTTGAAATCTTGTATTAGGATAAACCTTTATTTAAAAGCTCATCAAAATGAAAACACTTTTATCTCTTCACCCAATTCTGTACTGAAATCTCTATTTAACTGTTACACAATCTCGGAATATAATTTTTCTCTCCATTCATATTATCTCCATTCAAGCAGCAGTTTTGAAGGTGACAAATTCTCCTAAATCAGTATTTCTTAAATTGCCCTAAGAAAAGGTTCTTAGCAAAGCAAAAAAGCTCTATCTACGGTGGAGGTGGCAGAAAAATCACACAGTCCACAAACAGAAAAAATTAGTTCTCTCATACATCTTGTCTTCCATTTACTCAAGTATTAAAAGACATATTGAGACATATCTCTTTACTTGTCTGTCCACAAAATCAACATCCACTTGACCATGCAACTGCATGGTACAGACACAGAACACCATCATTTTAATATATGTTTTACATATTTATGAAATTATTTTAGATTTATATATAAGTATATAAGACATTAGATACATATGTGTAACATAATTTTTAATAAATGATATCCTTCCTCAAGGCCAAATCTAGGGACATAATTTCTAACAGAAATGAACACCTAATTAGTTCTTTCTCCTAAACAAAGTATTTACCATTTTCTTTTTTAGAGTAAAACAAAAGATTAAAACTGTAATCTGTTAATAAGTTACTTTACAACTAGAATTTTGGGTAATTTAAACATTTTAAAAAGCCAAATGTCATAGTTTTTAAATACATATTTATATATTGTTCCATTGAAAACACTATAGCATTTGTAAAAAAAAATATTTTATTGATAAGGGCATAAAATGAGAGTATCAGAAGGAAATTTATCATATTTTCCCAACACAGTTTATTCTCATCAACCATAGTTATGCCGTTATTAGTAACTCCTAGAAAAATTTTAACCAGCCCTACCATTGTTTGTTTTTAAAACATATTCTTTAAATATAACCCAGGATCTCATCAAAACATTAAGATAAACAAAAATAGAATTAAATTGTTTTATGTAACTGATGGACACATGAAAGCATACCCCTGAAACCACTAATTATTTCAAAAAATTTTACGCCATCTGAACTGAAAAACAGTGCCTGAAAAATAGATACATTCATGCTAACTGAGGAGAATAATAAACTACACTCACCTTATCCCTAATGTGAATGTTCGTTAAGTACTCAGATGGAACATGGAAGTCTGGATAATAAAATGAAAAAAGCCTTATTAACTGATTCTCAGTTAAAAAATATTTTTAAACGATTGAACACAAATAAATTCTCCTACCTATGTCTTGAGGTCGACAGGGTGAAGATGCCCAGGGTGATGCAAATTTGGGGTAGAGATTTCTGAATATGAGGGGGAAAAAAAAAACAAACACTCTCAAGTCTGAAGTATAAAAAAAGATTTCAATTTTTATTTCAGGAAATCAGGAAAAACAATGACTTCGAAAGTAAAATGAGCATCTTTACTTCTAATTTCTCTTCATGTGCTTACTATGACTTACACAGCAGAAAAATGAAACAAGGTTAACTAGGTGTATATATATGTGTGTATATACCAAGTATATATATTAAGTTATAAATATATATTCACATATATGTAACTTCAACTCAGAATGCTTTAAATTCATTAATAGCATGCCCCCAAGTAAAATTACTTTCCCATTTATATGGCCAGAAAAAAATCAGTAATTATTAAAAGCAAAAGTTCAAATCACCAAATATTTACTGAGTGCCTATTATATGCCTGGCACTGTTCTAGGTGTTTTGGCTACATTAGCGAACAGAACAAAGGTAACGGACAACATGAAACTTTTCTTTTTCTTTTTTAAAGATTTTATTTATTTATTTGACAGAGAGAGACACAGCAGAAGAGGGAACACAAGCAGAAGGAGTGGGAGAGGGAGAAGCAGGTTTCCCGCGGAGGAGGGAGCCCGATGCGGGGCTCGATCCCAGGACCCTGGGATCATGACCTGAGCAGAAGGCAGACGCTTAATGACTGAACCACTCAGGCGCCCCTGAAACTTATTTTCTGATTGAGGATGACAAATTAGAGGGAGGCAGACAAAAATAATTTGCATAATAAATAATATTCCATGTTCATGGAGGGGTAGAGATGGGAGATTAGTTGCATTAAATAAAGTAGTCAGGTTAGGTCTCATTTAGAATTTGAACAAAGATTTGACAAACATGAGGGAGTGAGCCATATTAACTATCTGGCAAAACACTATTCTAGTCAGAGGGAATTGCTAGAGTAACTAAGGCTGGGATATGACTGATATGTCTGAGGTATAGCAAGAAGGCCAGTGAAGCTGGAACAGAGTGAACAAAGGGAAAAGCCATGGAGGTGGGGGAACGAGAACATGCCTGTAGAGATAAACAGGCCTATAAAGATTTTAGTTTAGTTTTTTTTTTTTAAGATTTATTTATTTATTTGTCAGAGAGAAAGAGAGAGAGAGTGCGCACGAGCACGAACAGGGGGAGCAGGCTCCCCGCTGAGCAGGGAGCCTGATGAGGGACTCAATCCCAGCACCCTGGGATCACAACCTGCACCAAAGGCAGAAGCTTAACTGACTGAGCCACCCAGGCATCCCAAGATTTTAGGTTTTTAATCATAATGAAACCACAAACCCTCATTGAGCACTGCGCAAAAGATTAACCTATTAGAAAGGATGGTCCTGGCTCCTATATAAAGAAGAGACTGTGAGGGACACAGAGAGAATCAGGGATACCCGGTGATTGGCTAATGGAATAATCTAGGCAAGAGAGGATGGCGATTCAAACCAGAGTGGCAGCAGTTAAAAGCAGTAAGAAGCATGCAGCATCGAATCTACTACGTCAAACATTGCTGACAGGTCAAGGAGGATACGTTCCTACAAGCGACCACTGAATTTAGTAACATAGAGATCATTTGATGACCTCGATGAGAGTAGTTTTAGTGAAGTGGTGAGGCAAAATCCTAACTGAAATGGATTTAACGGAGAATGGGAGAAGACAAATGGGAGATGTAAAGATGGCTTTTTTGAAGAGTTTTGCTCTCCAAGAAATAAGAATAAAGAAATAAGGGCAGTTAACTCATTGAAGTTAGATAAGGAGAAGGCATTTTATTAACTTTATAAAGGAAGTAATAGAATATTTGTATGCTGATGGAAATGACCCAACAAAAGTGCAAAAATTGTTCAGCCATGTCCTTGAGTTTTCAAGAGACATTTTAAGTAGAAAGCATGGATCAACTATAGCAACAGGGTGGAAGACAAGAATAAGGTGGGTACAGATAGTACTAGATAGACAGATTTGGTGGTAGGACTATGCTGACATTCTCTTCTGATTATTTCCATCTTTCTTAGTAAACTAGAAATAAAAACGCAAGGTCTTAATTCTACACCTGAAACTAGTATTACACGGTTAACTAACTGGAATTTAAATAAAAACTTGGGGGGGGGGGAAGCAGCAAGGTCTTCATCTGAGAGTAAGGACAAGGAAAAAGGTAATGAGGTGTTTGAAGAGACAGTGTGAAATAGTTGCATAGGAGAATAAAAGAATGAATGGACAAGGCAAGCCAGTTATGAGTGGCAGAATTAAGGGCCCACTTCTTAAGTTCCTGGCCATGAATGTGAAATGAGACCAGGCAGTGAAGCTGTGTGGTTTTCTCTAGCTGGGTTCAGTAGCAGAGGTCAAGAATGGAAGTCAGAGTATAACCAGGGCTGTAGTTTCTGCCATGCAATCATGACAAATAGCAAGACAGGGGCAAAGTAGCCAAGAGTATATATAAATAAACAATTATGAGTGACCACAGAATTTAACTGGATAAGAAGGAAGTGAGTTCTTCTCAGGGGGAAGAGAAGGATGCTGAAGAACAGTGAAAAGATAGAAGAATCAATGGACTGAAGATCCCAAGGAGTCAAATGATTACAGGAGCCAGAACTAGAGGGAGAAAGATGGAAAACAGGAAGTGTCATGGGAGCACAGATAAAATTATAGAGAAACTGAAGTTATTGATAATGGCAAAGTCAAAAGGATGATTAAATATGTGAGTAGCTGAGATATGGTGGAGAGTAAGATTTTTGGAGGTGAAAAACTCAACAGCCCAAGATTTTAGGAATCAGGAAGGATCATACATGTGTATTCTGAAACTGCCAAAGAGGAATGATATTGTCAAGTGACAGTGATCCAGGAGCTAATATGAGAGGATATGACCCAAAGAGTCAAGACATAACAGCAACAATGAGTGGCTGTAGGTGATACAATCTGATTACATGAAATTAAAAACTAGAAATCTGCAAGTAGGTATTATACACAAATGTGGAAAAAAAGAAAAAAAACTTACTCAGGAGAGTTCAGATTGAGGCCTAATGTTGTTAAGTCACTTCCTAATGCAAGATGTACCATTCCTGGGTCCGTCTCTGCTGCCCTGATAAATGTTAACAGGCCAATCATTCCAAATTGGTCCGTCACCATCCCTTGAGGAATGTTAGTAACCCGACCTGGATAAGAAGAACACAGTAATTCTATCTTTAAGGAAAAAGCAAAGAAATGAATTCTATAATATCTCTGACATATTTTATAGAGTCCCACCATCAGGTAACACCTGGATCCCTTTTTTCTGCTGGTTATTATTTTGTGTTGTTGAACTTTTATCTCCAGGGAATTTGGGTCCATCTGTACTTGAAGCTGTCTTGCCAGATGTATTCAAATTCTAACATGAAAAAAATTAAATGTGACATTAAAATTTGTTAAGTGTAAAAATTTCAAGTTCACATATTAGTTACCGTTCTATTCATTCTTTATTTAAACTGGTAGTAAATTATTACCTGTTTTTCAAGTTCTACATGAAATTTTTTGTTTCCACAACTGTCCCATGGTTTATGAATAAATCCTGTATTTTACACATTTGAGTATTTAAAGGACAAGAAATATATGGAAAATATTCTTATTTATCTCAGATCTTCGGTCACAGAAAAAAAAATATCTCAGAACTTTATGCTTCAAGTTTCACTCTTCAGTACTTTAATTTAGAAGAGAAAATAATATAGTATGTTGCCTATAATATCAGCATAAAAACCTCGAGGATATATTAGAATACATAAACTTTTAAAATTCATATTTAATTCTTACCCAATAATCTTCTTTATCAATTATTTTAACAATATATAATACAAACTCCCATCACACAAAAAAAGCTATTTTCAGTGAAATGTGGAAGAAATAAACACATTCGTTAAGTCAGAAAGAGGAAGCTGAGTTGGCTGAATCAACACAGGAATAAAAATGTGTATAAAGATTCTTCAAGGAGAAAACTTACTCAAGAAAAACACAGCTCCTTAGAAGGCTATAATATCAAACTTCATGGGATCCAGCTGACAGGGACTACAATAAAAGTCTAAATTAACTCTGAGAAGTTCAACAGAAATTTGCAAACCTATATGAAATAGGAAAAAAATAGGCTATCTTCTAAGTTATAAAGGTTTTCCACATTCTTCAGAAGTTAGATTATTACAGATATTCAAGATAAACAATTTTGTAATAGTTTAGTAAGTCCTTAATATAGTCTATAAAACTGTTAATACAAGAGAAATCTGAAGGGAAAAAACTACATCATTCACATACATAATTCTCAATTACTTACAGATTTACTGTCATCATTACTTGATGTTGGATCTTTATAGCTGGAACCAGGTAATGCTGGAAAATCTTCGTTGTGTATTGAGAAGTCCTGGGATTGCTCATTTGCTGGTTTTGTTACCATTCCAACTATGTAATAAAAATAATCCAGAGAATTGCAAGTCATATTTATGGTATTTTTCTACAAATTATAAAAAATTAACTTTCCTCATGATAATGTACCAAAAGGATTTTTTTAAAATTACACTATGAAAGCACACTTCAAAAAATTAGTATTCAGGATAATAATGAAGAACTAAACTTTTATATACTGATTAATAACTCAATATACAAAATAATACAAGGGAAGTTAAGTGGCAATCCTATAATTCTAAATCTAATGTCATTTATAGATGCTTAAAAACATAATTTGATACTGGTAATAGTTATCAAAATTTTTGGTTTAAAGCTTGATTTAAATATTTGACTAGCTATTATAAACACCAGTTAATTGTCAAATACAAATGAACAAAATAAATTTTAAAAGAACATGTCAGTATTCTACTTGAAAGTGACTTACAGAGTGAGCAAATTGCAATCAATTATAAAACAACTCCATATTATTTCAGATTTTCTTGGACTCCATGTAATAGATGTAAAACATGCAAGAACTGGGAAGTAATCCTCCCACTATACTTGGCATTAGTCAGGCCCTTATTGGAGAACAATATCCAGTTTGGGGCTCCACAATTCAAGAACGATATGGAGAAACTAGAGTTGGTCCAAGGAGAGCAACGGGAATGATTAAAGGGATGAAAAAATGGACCTATGAGGAAAGGTTAAAAACATTAGAGTCTGAACTGAGAATCAAGTAGCTAGGTACTCAACTTCCAGGGCAGATCATTCTTTTGTTATTTTTGGAAGACTAATTTGGAAGCTTTAGAATATTAACAATATATTTTTCCCTTCTTCACACATTGTTTTCTGTATTAATATTCTGAAAGGCAAAGAAATCCTTCTTGGATGAAAACAGGAAAAAACAGTTATCTTAGGAAAGTTATGAACTGATCCCTCTACATTGTTTCTACTACTGTTATCTACCAGATTCTCCCAAAAGGGAACAACTATGTGCAGTGGATGAAAAGAATATGGCTGCATTGCTGTTATATATAATTTTCATGTCTAAATTGTTATTACACACATTTCATGCCCCCCCTTCACTTAGCCAAATCCATTAGAGACAGTGACAAAGGGTTTTAATTGTGACCAAGAGTCTACATAAACTATCCATGACCCATTAGCCAGTGGTTTTTGACAGAAGGCAATTTTTTCTCCCATGGGACATCTGTCACTGTCTGGAGACACCTATGATTGTCACAATGATGGGGAGGAGGGTACTGTTGGCACCAAGTAGGCAGAAGCCAGGGATATTGCTAAACATTCTATAATGCACAACACAGCCCCCTATTTACAAGGAACTATCTGACCAAAATGTCAGCAGTGCGGAGGGTTAAGAAACTGGCTTAGAAAAAATCTTCAACGTGTGGTCAGTCATTATTAATCACTAAGAATGTAGAACTGTGTGATTTAAAAAATGTGTGATGAATTAAGAAGAGAAAAGGCAGACCACAAATAATCATTAAGGTGTACTAAGACAAATGCCACAAGAAAATAACCTCTGAATACCAATGAGGATTTCCTTTTGGGGTTTCGGTACAAACTGTTTTCCCCTTTAACTTTGCTACCATGGTATTCTGGGAGGAAAACGTACTTTGCATATATCAGCTCTGACAAAACTATACTACTCTGATTAGAAAACATATATGTGTATGTACACACACACGCACATGCATGTAAATGGGTATGTATGTGTGTGTGCACACGCGCGCGTGTGTGCAATGGAAAGTTTCCATTTGCCATCATTAAAAAGCTTAATTACCATAAGGAGCTCTTCCAGCCAAGGGGTTTATTAATGGAGTTGGGTTACCACTTCCTTCCCTTCTGTTTCGGTCTGCTAATGCTGGAAAATCTGAAAGGTCCAATCCTGTCACATTTTCGCTTCCATCTAAATAACGAGAAAGAACATTAGTTATTGATTCTACAAACATTTTATTTCAAATAAGCTCTATGCCCAATATGGGGCTTGAACTCACGACCCAGAGACCAAGAGTCACATGCTCTACTGACTGAGCCAGCCAGGCACCCAGATTCTACAAACATTTTAAGGAGAGTATTCAAGACCAACCATAAAATAATTTGAAATGACAGTACCTTCTTCCTAAATAATGTACAGCACTGTACTAGGTATGTGTAGTTGTACAATAAACACGTGAACTGATTTCACGCAAAAGAATTTCATGAGTAATTCAGCAAAGCAATATGTAGCTAGTAGCATAATAAAAACCTCAAATCCTAGAGACCTATGTATGACAGACAATAAGGAGTAAGGTGGTACATTATTTCCCCTGTGAAGGGTGGCACTCTAAAGTTATAGCTTGTTAGCTAACAAGAGAGAGATTGTTGTGATATAACGGCTCTTTTCATTATATCCAGAAGTGGAGGTAGTATCCGGATGCTTGGAGCTTTAGTTATACACAGGTATGGTAATGACAGTGCCTCTTGCAAATGACCAGAATCATATCTGAAACACAGGCAGTGGAAGCAGAAACTCTAAGGACTTCTGTCCTGTGACCTACTTGTCCCATTACACAAATGTGTGTGAGCGTGTGTGTGTTTTGCAGTTAGGGAGTATAAGCAGGGTGGTATAGACAGGGTATAAGCAGGGTTCCCACGTCTGGCAAGAGTCTGGGACGCACGGGAATGTGATGCAAAGTCCAGAAGTTTATATTACTTATTACATAGTAGGCGCTCAATAAATATGTATTAAATGAATACAATTAATTATTGTTCATTTTAAATGAAAAAAATCAGCTCGCTTCCATTTAAAAATTAAAATTTAACCCAACGTTTCTACTTTACCTATTTTATTTCTTAAGGATTTCATTTTTTAGTAATCTCTACACCCAACGTGGGGCTCAAACTCACAACTCGAAGATCAAGAGTCACATGCTCTACCAACGGAGCCAGCCAGGTGCCCCTCTACTTTGCCTATTTTAATTATCCCCTTCATTTCTTCTCAATTTTTATTATTCTATTATTCTTACAATCTTATTCTTAATTTTTGAAGAATTTAACTTTCTACCTTAGTTTTAGCCTGCATTATAGCTTTTCTTTAATCTTTGTTTTGTCTAATGTTTTAATGTTTTATACCATTTTCAATTTATTTGGCCTTTCTGTTAAGTTTTAATTTTTCTCCAAGTTCCATAATCAGAAGAATCTCAGAAACTAATTATCTCAAGATTACTTTGTTGATAGAAAAACAATACACTCTATTAACATTCCAAGTCAGGTTACAATTTAAAATTATGAAAAGTAAAAGATAAAATCATGCCCATTATTTCTAAACCAATTGTAGTTTATGAACTTTTAATTTTAAAAAGATACTACTACATAAAAAGACAACAGAAATTTATAGTGTTTCAAGTTATAAAAGTAATCTTTCTTGAATTATTTATAGTATATAATTATAAATTAACTGTAAGCTCTGAATATATATTAACTTTTAACACACATCTTCAGGTCCTGTAAGATGGAATTTAAAATGGCCATGTTATCTGAGAATAATTGTAACCTAAAAATTAGTTAATAAACCCCCAAGTTATATTTTTAGGTAAAGACTTGGAAACAATTTCCCTAAAATTAGTTAAAATTTAGTTAAAACTGAATTTTAAAAATAATTTAAAAATTTATGGAAGTGTATGAAACCATAATTCAGAATATAAGATGGCATTGTCAGACACATTATTACTTTATGGTCCATTTAGGAAAAAAAAGTAACTTGCCAATTAAACTATGATACACAGCCTGAATTCAGAGATAATATGAAAAAAGTGTGCATTTCAGAAACAATGGGAATATGGTACTTATAGCATTTTAACACCTTGAACATAAAACTATAATTTTTAAATGCTAAAATTTGGAATTTTAAAGTCTAATTTGATCAATCTATGCTGCTAAACATATAACAACACTTAAAAATTAAAAGCTCATGGTCACAAATGACATTTCATTACTAAATCCTGTCTCCTGCTTCCACATATGCTCCATTTCACTGATCATTCTTTCCATTTCCTTTATATATAGTTCTCTCTGAATGATCATATTCATTTTTGCTCCTATGGCCATACAACATCTTTTATTTTTCTCAGGAAAGGGTCTGGAGGCAAGGGTGGAAGAGGGTGAAGCCTGAAGCAGAATAGAAACAAAGCCTCTTGTTCTCTTCTCTCTGAAGCAGTTGATAAAAGAAATAAACCAACAGACTGCAGGAATTCAAAATCAGAACTCTATGTAATTAAAATCTACACATAAAACTGGATAAAAAAATCCAAGGGTTAAATGCCAAATTAGTATTATTAAAATTATTAAGAAAAAATTGTTAAGTGCTCCAATATAATTTTAAAGGTTTCTTCAATCTGGGTCTCTATAGCCAGAATACCATACCACTCAACCTAATTTAGACTGTAGTGACGGGACTGAGGCTAGGAAAAGCTCTTGAAGCAAAAGAGATTCTGAGGCATAAGTATAGACTAAGTTAATGTTTAGGCTTTCTCTAGGTGTTAAGGAAATAGTCCTAAAGTTATAACACTATGCTATTACCATGTCAAGTGAAAAAATATATTTAAATCTCTCTCAACTGTTCACTGAATTAAACCCTAATTCCTGTCAAATTCTCACTAAATTAAATTCTACCAGTTTAACACAAAAATCCTATAATGTTTTAAGACCTGTATGTTGAATTGCTTTATATTTCAAGATCTATCATAATTTTTTATAGGGTACTACCTCCAGAATAAGCTTACCTGTTCCATTAAAAATGTTACTTGATAAGGAGTTATTCATTCCAAATGCCTGATTCCTGTTCATTCCAAATCCAGACATACTGGGTACATAGAAAATAATTTTAGATATACAGTAAGAACACTAACTTTCAGATGAAGAAAAACAAAAGTGTATACTTTTGATCTCCTCATATAAAACAACAGTATGTTTAAAAACAAATACTAATTTTATTTTTCTGAGTTTAACATTTATTTAAAAACTCCCCTGACGTCCTTCCATGAATAACTGAGAACCAAAATATCTTAAACAGATGATTTAAAAAACAAAAAGCAAAGAATTTACACATAAGCCTTGAGGAAAACAGAGATTAATGGCACTATTTTAGGGACTTGGAGAACCAACTTACTGGATACACTGGCAGAAGTAACTAATCTTAAAAACATGCAGTTTAGGGCATAACTAGTGTTCCTGAATACTTGTTTTCCTTCCACTACTGGGAAAGTGTGCCATTATCACTTTCCATATAAGATCTTCTTTCATACAGAGTCTTCCCCATCTAGAATCAACTCCTTATGGACAGGGCCTATGTCATGGTCATCTCAGCAACCTCTGCCTTTAGCGTTCAGGAGGATAAAACAGGCACTCAATAAATGTTTCGTTTACCTGAATCAAATGGTGATTTTCTTTAACTGAATTTAGTGTTCTAAAAAAACACGTCATTCTAATCTAAATGTAGTTTATCTTTCAGCTACTTAAAAGAAAAAGCAAATCTCTCCATAGTACCCTCCATTCTAAATTAATGCACAACTGGTACTTGGTAAACAGTTACAAATGCCTCCCTTTTCTGCACAAGGCTAAACATGAGAGAACAGAAACAAGTCTGAACTTAAAGCAAAGCCAGAAGTAATTAAGAATGTCAGAAAGAGCTGTTAATGCAAATTTTACAATGAAAGTATGCATCTTTAACATCAAATAATCTGATAAAAGACAGTGTAGCAGTGTTTATGAGTAGGGTTAAACTGTTTGATGATGACAGGGTTTTTTTGGGTTTTTTTGCCTAACTTTGTAAAACTAACTATGGCCAAACAATATTTTCACAAAATATTATGAGCTGGTGAAACAACAAAACTCTAGAGAAGAGTAAGAAAGCCATTAGAAATACTTATTTAATAGCATGTTAGAATTGTTGATACAGGTACCTTCAAACACTGAATAAGTACTAAGGGATAAAAACATTCTATAACAAATACAACTTATCAGTAGTAATAAGCAGGGCTATAGAGACCCATGTTTCATTGACAATTTACAAACAATGTATTTTTTAGAAACAATTAAAATGTGAAAAAATATGGAAAGGCAAAATTTAAATATATATTCAATGAACACCACTACAAGAAAAGATGTGACAAAGTCCAAGAAGTATATGATTAGGAAGCTATCAAGTAGATAAGAATTTTGATGACTCTTTATAAATAATATTTATTTTTAAAATTAAGAGCAGTAAAATTATTAACAGAAATACTCATAAATCTAAGAACTAGAACTTATGGGATGAAGATCAAACAGAAAATGTGCTAATAACCTATTTTTAATCCAGATTTTTGTAAGTAGTAGATAAAAGAAAGTGAATTAAATGGGTAAGATGACAGCAAATAGATCAAGATCTTTTTTCCTCATACAGTTCCCCATTTTAAAAAAATTGGCGAAATTAAACACGAGTTTTTCAAGATACAAAGCCTTATACTGTAGTCATCATTCTCATATAAATTATCTGAACAGCTTCAAAATCCTAATAAAATAGACAACTGGTCTTCATATTGTCATTATCACTTGCACAGTAAACATATGCAAATAGTGCAAAAAGGAGTGAAAAAGCACAACAGCTCATCTTCTTGTTTTAAATCCCAGAACGTTGACACTATTTTTGAATATTGTAGATGTAGTCTTAAAAAGTCTTTGGTCAAGAAGTCTCCAAAGCACAAAACTGAATTTCAGTTGAAATGGTACTAAACCAAAGCATAAGTGAAGCAAGGCAGTAATAGTCAAACATATCCCTGGTACTGTTCATAAGTCTGGAACTCTTACACGTAAGTGGCCAGCCTCATTTAACAGACGAAGCACATATCCACAAAAATCTGCCTGGTGGCAACTTAACAATTCTTTTCTAACAACAACAAAAACCTTTAATGTGCTTTCCAAAATCAAAGTGATTTTCAAAAGAACATGTCTTTAAGTTTAGGGAGATTAAAGCTGTAACACGTAACAGAAAGAGAATCTTTGGTCATAAAAATATGATGAAACAAACTTATGACAGAAGCCAAGACTCAAGAACAGAATGCTGAATATGAAAAGGCAAATTTGAAAATACCCAGAAAGACAATTATACACAGTATCAATAAACATCTTACCTGTTCACAGTAAAAGGCTGTCGAGAAGGCTGCTGCTTTGGCATACATATTATGCTTGGCGAGCTTCTGTTGGGGCTACCTAACCCTGAACTGCTCATGCTATTTGTCCTGCTAGGAATTCCAATGCCCTGACCAACCTGGGAGTGGTTCATCATATTCCTAGGATTCATAGGCAAAATACCCCTGAAAAAGAAGTCCATTATACTAAATAAGCTCTCTACAATCACTCATTAAAATTCTCTGTAAATAATCAATTGGCCTAACCCCAGAACCTCAAATATACTTTCAAATTACACTGCTAATTTTCATTAATTTAATTCTTTTGTCTGGTCATTCTAGCTCTTTGAAAAGTCAAACAAACCAACAAGAAATTGGGTAAATTATAGCAGAACTAATATAAGGTGGTATTTAAGATGAGAAAACTACTGGTGTGACTAGGATATAAAATAATACAAATGTATTTCACACATATATTTAAAGTAAGTTCATTCCAAATGTATGTCATTCTACTTCTTCATACTAATATGCATCATCTATGTAATCAATCTTGTTTTATTTTACTCAGTAGAGCAATGAATGTGTGTTGAGGGAGCAATAATCATAATTATCTGAGGAATGATTTTAAATTGCACATCCTCTTTTGAGGAAGAGTTGGCTTCTGAAAAAGCTCCCCAGGTGGTGATTAACCCTTGATACCCACCCAGCTGACAACCAGTATGTCAGATGCATGATAAAAACATCTTACACTATACTTATCAATTTGCAATGAAATAAAATGAGCATAGGGTATTAACTTTCTTTTCTTCAGTGAAAGGCACTGAACCAGAAAAATGAAATAATTAGTTATTTAAAAACTAAAACGCTTGCTTACTCTACAAAGATACATCTTGAGAAATATTCTGGTCCATCAATAAATACCTGCTTGGAGATGGAGGCGTGTGAAGTGACATTGTTGGTACCCCTGTTGTTGGCGTGACGTGGCTCGGTAACTGAGTGCCTTGTGATAAGCTGCGATTTAACTGAGGGGTATTGTTGCTCATCCCCCTCATTGGAAGGCCTAGTGCACCTATTAAAAAAATTCAGAAGAAGGAAATTCATTGCCATCAGGAATGAAATTGTTATCCATCTTCTGGAGTTGGCAATTTAAAACATTTTTAAATGACCTAACATGTAATATAATATGCAAATTTTAAATGGATATATTCAATTCACTCCAAATGGACTCTGATTTTAACAAAAATGTTCTAATCTGAAATTTAATATTATGAATGGACATTGCGTTCATATTTCTATCCTCTGTTCATATTTCTATTTTATAATAAACTATATCTGCCAATGGTTTTAACAAATTAGATGATTTATGTTTCAATGAAAACATTTTGTACAAATATGGCTTTAAGAAATTTGCAATCTTGTGTTTTTATGTTTTAAATCATAACTGAGGTAAACAGACATTTAACCCCACTTTGCTGAAGCAGCTTTAATTTTTATATGATGCTTTTAAAATGCATTTAAGAAATTTCTACTATTTATACATACATATTTCTCAACATTACAATTTTTACAAACCCAACATAAAATGTCAGCAACTGTTAAAAAAAACTCAAGCTGATATAACTGTAAGAGACAAGAATTTAAAACATTTAAGTTTTCAAAGTACAGTGACCTTCTATATATCTAGTACTCCTGGGGATAGATGCAAAAGGGTGGATGTGTTCCAACAGGTATATTTTACAGACTAAAGTTTCACCACTCAGATAAAAAACATAAAAAAAAAAAAAATTGGGGTAAACATTTCAAAAATGTATGACATATTTCCTAACTTCTATTAATATGAAATATAAATTAATTTCTTAATGATTCAGAAATATCAAGGATATCAAATATTCTAGATGTTTAGATATCCCCCTAGCCCTTTCATCCCTCAGAGTAAGGATGTCCAGCTGTCACCAGTTATCATTATCTGCCTATGGATGCCTCCATTTCCTGACCCACACTTTTTGGTGCTGTTTCTAGTCAGCTGCGAAATAGCCTATCAGTCAACTGAACTTATTCTGAACTGGAAGTTAAATAAAAGCGGTAAGATATAGAGCTAATGAATACATAGATTACTTAAGTGCTAGGGATTTAAAGTGACTTTTTTCTTCCGTTTTTGGTCTAATTCCAGAAGCAAGAATTTCAAGGACATGAATATTTTGAAACTATGACCTCCAAAAAATTGGAGTGTATATATATATGTTCTGAATGTTTTACTAATTCAAGTACCTTTGCAACATTTACCTTTGGCGTAACAATGTCATACCTAAGGACAGCAGTGGACCACAAAGATTCCACTGGAATCTGCCAGCCACAATACTCAGCTTATAGCCTAACTTTGCTTCTCAACTGAATGAAGCCAAGAAATCCAACTCAATGTAGCTACTATATTCTGTGTACTATGTGTACTCTGTCTGTTTCAGTCAGGTTCCACGATGACCAGAGGTTAGTTCTACATTTCTTTCAACGACATGAAGGGAACTAACTGGCCTAGATTATATGCTGGTTTAGTTCACCGTATGTATGTCTGGTCCCTACAAATTTTGTGACCGTGAATATACCACTGGCTGCAAATGCTTTCTCTGAATTGGGACAAAATAAGGAAAAATAAGATTAAAAATTAGCCATATAAGATTTCTTCAGAATAAATCAGTCTTTTCTTTCTCTTAAACCACTCTAGTTTTCTTGAAGGCCCTCTAGATGCTCCCAGAGTGAACCACCAAAGTGATACTTTTCATATCAAGCATTCAATAAACATTTAGTGAGTGCCTACTATGTGCCAAGCACTGTGCTAGCTGCTGGGGATACAGCAGTGAACAAGATAGAAAAGGCTCCTACCCCCTCAGGGAGTTTCCATCCTTCTCCCCAAAGAATGCTGTCCTAAAGTCAGCTATAGCTGCGAATTAACCACAGGAATGTGCTTCACACAATTACTGACCACCAAGAAATATACAATTTTAGAGCCAGAACGGACCTTAAAGATCACCTAGTCCAATGTTCGCACTTTACAGATGAGGAATCTGAGCCTCAGATGAATTAACTGACTTCTCCAAGGTGACACAAAGAACCAAGACTAGAATTTAGATCTCTTAACTCCTAGTGTTCTTCATGGCAGCCCTATGGGAGCCCAATATAACGCTAAGCGAACACCTCTTGTGAGTGTCTACCAATTCGTAACACCTCTTTACCTATTTTGTTTTCTCTTGCTTTTTTTTTTTTTTTTTAATATTTACTTCTCTTCAAATTTTACTAACTCTCCATCTCTTGGTCTCTTCTCTCCATTTTCTTTCTCCCTCTCTTTTCTATACCTGTTCAAGTTTTCTTTCTTCTAATTTTACTTTCCCCTTCCTTTTCTCGCTCTCTTATACCTTTATCATTATAAATAAACATACACTTCACAAAAATCTAGTACCCTCTGTTTTCTAATAATCAATATGCCTTACAAAACTCACTGAGATCTGTTTACTTTAATCCTTCATATATATATTTTTCTATGCTGTATTATGAAAATCGGTAACTTCAGAAATATCTTAGAAACTGGAGATTATCTGAACATTAGCAAAAAACTTTTGGAGATGAAAGTAAGAATGGGTATGGTTTTTTATTTAGTCAATTAGGGATTGGCAGGCACATGAGTTAATTTATAGTGCTGAGAATGGAAGACGACGTATGAAATAAACTCAAAGATTAGTGTTTATTTTTCCTTCAACCCTCTTGATTTCATAAAACAGCTAATATATTCAGTCTGAGTTGCATTTTGTTGAACTAGGTAGGTATGAAAAAAAAGGAGAGAGGAGTACATCAATTTCAAATGGGATCATCAAGCTTTGAATACTTTAATAATCAAGCTATTTCACATTCAATTAAAAATTGAATTCTTTTAAAACATAAAGAGTATCACTGATAGGAACATACAAAGATTTATTTTTAGGAAACAAAATACACTAAATCATTAAATTTGAGTTACTTGAGTCAAACAATTATAACTGGGTAAGGCCAAAGAGAGAACTTTACTCTTTTAGTAATATATTTAGAAACAATCACAGAAAATTTCCAAAATATTATACCAAGAAGAAGACATGCAAGCCAAAAGAAAAAAAAAAAAAAAAAAAGCAGGAAAAAAAAACCTCATAAAAAAATTTGGCATAAAATAACTACAACAGGTAAAAAATATTATAAATGAGGAATAAATGAACAAAAAAGCTAAAAAGTAGCTAAAAAGGTTATAGTTCTGAATCAAATTTTTCTTTCAATTTGACAAATGGCTAATAAAGAATAATATAATATTAGGAGAAATACATGAACATACTCCAAGTAGATTCCTACCTCTAATTTGGCAGGGTGCTCAACATAGAATGAACTGAATTAACTGATCATTTTTCAGAAATCCAAAGGAACATGATCTAAGAAATGTTTCCATGAATTATTTCCACTGCACAAACTGATTAACAGCACATTCCTTAAATATCTTATGCCTCCTTTATTCAATCTTTTGCTAAAAACAATATTAATAATACAAGTTATAAGAAAAAAATCCAATCATAGCAACCAACTCCTTGAATACTCACACTTAAATGAAGTCTCCTGAAATCTTTATTAAGGAAAGGGTAGAACATCCCTAATTGCTGCAAAGGGGCTTAAAGCATCCCCACCTTCCATTTATTTCCAAAGCAACTAGCTCTTCCTAGGAACTCACTGTCCTACCCACACTGACGAAGAATAACCACCTTCTAACCTCCAACCTGTCCTCACATCTTCTTACCTCCAATCTGCCCTGCACTTAGCTGCTTAAATCTTCTATATAACATTATGTTGTTAAGTATTTTCCTTCATTAAAATCAAAGGATTTTAGAGATAGAAAACTGTCTCCAGAGATCTTCCAGCTAAGTTACAGATAAAGAACATCAGGAATGAAGTTACTTGCCAAAAATCACAAAGAGGAATAAAAATAACAATCCAATTGCTTAACCTTTTTTTCAACCAATCACTTTCTACTCCTTATAGTAGTTGCTAACTTTTATATCACCTGTGGAACTCTAATGTCTGGGTCCCATGCCCAGAAATTGTCACTCAGTCTGAATGCTGGCAATTCATGGCTAGTGAGATTTAAAAAACTCTCCAGGTGTTTTTAGGGGTACAGCCAGAGTTGAGAACCATTGCCATTAGTATTATATCCAATCACAGTTTAGTCTTTTCAAATTCTCTGTCAAGACTGAAAAGATTCTTCTAATCTCTGTTTTTTTAGTCCCCAGCTTTACTGAGATATAACTGACACATAACTCTACCTAATTAATATTTTACTCACCCCAATATAAACTCTTTTTACAAACCACATATTTTACTTACAATCTTCCTTCTTTTCCTGGTCCTCTCTCCAAATCTGTCCCTGCACTTTTATTCATCTCTCTCTCCCCACCCAGAATACATTCCCTCCTCTCATCCTACAGAAGTACAGAATATCTTTTTTTAAAAAGGTCATGATGCGGGTGTTTATACACAGCATATGTAGTGTGCTTTGATGTATATGGGAGAGACCACTAACTCAGATGTGAAAGTAAAATGGATTTGGAATCAGAAAATGTTTCCTGGAGGAGACAGTAAATGAATTAAATAACGAAAGAGACCTAGTCAGGTATTTGGTGGTGGTGATGAGGAGTCAGGAAGGTAAAAATTTTCAAACAGTTTACTCTGAAAACAGCGAGATGTATAAAAATGAGGACAAGTGATATGCCTGGAGGAGGAGTAGGTTTGCTTTTGGGTATTAAGGACATATGAGACAAGAAAGAAACATGGATGGAGCTAACTGGCTTCAACATTCTCAACTAGGAAAAGCTGATGTTATGTTAGAACTAGCAGAGAGCAATTGCCAACGTTTTGCTGGATCTTTACAGCAGTGGGCACTCTACCTATGGAACATCCACATGAAGCTCCTAAGTATACTTTGTACTCCTTTGCAACCTAAGTTTCCATTACAGATTCATGGCACCCATTTATAACGTAATGCAGGTCTCAAACCTTAGAAATCCTGGG